TCATCCATTATGGCAAAGCTCAAGTTAAACTGGTCGATTTGAAATGAACCGTAACGATCCGGCTGAATAGTTTTCACACAAATTAAATGACATTTCGTCTCTATTTCGGGTTATACACTCGATGTTAGACGCATATCAAAGGAATCAAATCTAGGCAAATACGCAAACGCATTTGGCTCCATGTGTAGACGGTCATATTAGTCAGTGCTCGCATATTTTGTCTGTACTACGCCAAATATTTCACCAAGTACATCAAACAACCAATAGCGAATGCAAGTAGCCATGTGAAGTGCCACCATAAAGTGACATTCCTTCAATATTGACTACATCGCCTTAAACCTGTTGAAACATATTTATTGACGACCTCCGCGGTCATGTGGCTTGCACACCGGTTTTCACGGTGTTGCCATTTATGCTGTCTCGGGTTCGATCCCCGGCCGGGTCGATATAGAAAAACTTTTGTATATTGCAGTCCTGTCAGATCGTAGGGTTTTTTCTTTATGTTCGATCTTTGTATTAATATTGTATTGTCGTGTTAATCTTACACGATTTGTATTATAAAATATTACTACAAAGTTTCATTTTCGTAAGTTTGAGGAATACGATTTTTCATACAAACATTTTTACCCTTATGATTCTTTTAGGAATTGAATTTCGAAACATCCGTTCTTAGTACGCCTACATTAAATAAAAGTAACGTACCCTCAAGTTTTCATGTTATCTTTATAGTTATTGCTGTGCGTATATTTATCAGTGAATTGCTCCGGACTCTACTCCTCTATATATATAGATTAACCAATTTCTTAGCAAGACCATGATCGTATTATAGGGTCCTTTTGTTACTGGTACAGGGTCAAGTGTACTCGTCAAGCTTAGCATTTAAAATTTAAATTCAACTCTATGGCGCTGACAATAAGAACAGCCCAAAATCCAAAGAGTCTTGACCCTTGACTGTAGTTTGTATAGCATTAACTTCATGAAATTTGTGACAAATGGTTTTTTTCTGAAGTGCGACCTTTATGCCAGTGTCAAGTACATGGATAGACAATTAAGGTTCTAGAACAAAGTGCTAAGATAATAATTAGACGGAGTATCAACATTTGTTCTTTGCGTTAGAACTCCAAGTCATATTTAACTTATTTTTTTGTAAACTATACTTAGCGATGGAATTCTAGATCAAGAATCTGAACAAAGGTGTTCTCATTAGGAAAAAAATATTTGAAGAAGCTTACAAATGTGAAAATATCTAAAAAGTACAATATTTTTTACTTTGTGTTTGAATTGTGTGTATGTACAAATAATATTATTAGAAAAACATTTTTTTGTAAATTGTTTTTATACCACCTATTTAATAATAATAATTGTTATTATTGCTTATAGCTTCAAAGTTTCGGTTATACACAACCTATAGCTGCTATTTTTGTTTATGTTTTGAAGTTTGATGCCTCTAATAATGTAAAAAAGCGTTTTAATCCACAAAATATTAGTAAACCAAAAATAAATTATTATGAACTTCTTAATAAAAATAAATAAACGCTTAATATCAAGGGTAGGACCTGTACTAATACAGATTCATTAAAACATACTTGAAGTAAAATATTCATGATTAATGAGATGTTATTTTAATAGGGACGGTCTTTGTTTACATTTTTGATCTCGAATTGCATCGCCGAGTATACGTAGTTGTCTCTTGTCTTTCTTTTCTCCTTGTTTGCCTGTCATCTTTTTTTATCTTTTGTTTTTCGCATCCATCATTTCGTATAATTTTTCCAGTCATTTTCTTATATCGTCCGTACATCTATCTTCTAGCAGTCTATCTATGCTTCTTATATCGATCTTTGATCTCCACTCGAGTACTCTAGACTTACCAAAACAATCACAGAGTAATTATAAATGCAACTTCTTACTGTATACAATACAGCAATAGTTTTACTATTCCACACGGTAAGATTTTGTATAATACAAACTGTGTCTCAAACTCTTGGTACAAAACAATGCACTCAATCTCAATCAAACTATGAATTAACTAACGCCGCTAATGACCGATGATTGTCCATCGCCTATCATTACAATATGCGCCAGAGTTGCACTATTGATATTCTCTTCATTACCATCCACGCTGTTGCTATTCTATGCGTGAGCGCAGCGCCTTATCATTACCGGCGGCATCGTTTCTATGCTAATGTAAATTATTGTTAGATCGATTGTGTAATGCGCTATATTTTATTGTGGATTGATTATACGCAGGTGAGTGAAGGCCTTTATTGGCTCGATCGCGTTTTAAAATTTTCATAGAGGTCATAACTATTTGAATGGTATTCGGTTTAGTAATACGCGTCTAAAATCAAACACTTTCAAAAGGCATTCTTCAAGTTCAGGTATTAAATGAAACAAATGGTTGTAATGATTGTTGTGATAAAGTTGTTATTTCATCCCCGTTTAATTTATAAGAGTATCTCGAGAAATTCTACACTTTGTGATCTCATGTATTTCAACAATTTGATGTAATTCGGGGAAGAAAGGGCATAAATACTAAACCACAGAGTTTGCAAGATGAATAAAGAACAAGAAATTTATAAACAGTCGTGTTTACTTAAACGAACCTTTTTTGGCGAAGCGTTAATTATTTTTTACGTGTCACGCAGAGTTTGAAATCTCAAAGATTTATTTAGTAATTTTGTGGTCGAAAGGTTACCATACCATGATTGCTACACAGAGGGTTCGATTTCCATGACGGGAGAAATATGTGCATGGCCTACGTTTATTTCTCTCGTGAGTTTGGGTGTAATTTGTGGTTGTCTATGTGTGTCCATAGCATCCGCGACACAGGGTTTCCCTGGTGCGGGGCTATGAGTGTGTTGAGTTATTAAAAAAAGATTGTACTTTATGATGATTTGTTTGAGCTTTTACTGAACTACTTTAATATAAGTTTTAAATATTTTTTTATACAAGATTCGGGCGTCGAACTTGTTCCAAAACTTGAGTATTATTACAATTATGTATAGAATTATGTACAATTTGTATACTGAAGCTGTTTGTCATATTTCTTATGACTTATTTTCGAAGTTACATTGCAATTTTTTAATGATTATGTATAACCTAAATTAATTAAACAAGAACTAATAGACAAATTAGATTTGGATTCCCGGCACTTTGGCAGAATTTAAAAGCAATAGTTTCCTCTTCTGATAAGAAGACTTTTGATGTTAAAAGTCACATTTATAATAGAATTCAATGGAAGGCATTTATTACAACGCTACAACACAAAAATAAAGAATATATGATTACAAAAGTGAAAGGAAACAAAAAACAACGCGGTGAACATTTAAAACAATAAACAAACGATACAATTTCAAAAAATGTCATATGTGCGGCTGTGGCGGACCACAGCTGAGACTAGGCTGTTACCCTGGTATTCAATGGAACCTAAAGCCGAACAAGCAATCACGCCACTTGATATGATAAAAAAAATATTAATACAAAGATCGAACACTAAGTATGTGCTAAGTTAGTCGATGTGTGGCCGAACGGTTACTATGCTTGTCTGCCACGCAGAGGTCTCGGGTAACCGTTTCGGTCATATCCGGGAGAAATATTTGAATAACCTACATTTTTTTCTCTCGTGAGTTTGGGTGTAATTTGTGGTTGTCTATATATGTGGGATACGAATGAGTGCGTCATAAAAATGAATGAATGAAAAAAGCCAAACAATCACGCAATTGCCTGGTCTCAAACTGGGGAATTCCCTCTACTATGAATACCAGAGCAACGGAATTCAGTCTGGGATTCTTCCCTAAACACCCAGACCAGAACCAGTTTAGAAAAGTTCATTTCCCAAATTGATCGTACCGGGAATCGAATCTAGAACCTTCACAACCAGCGCCAACAGCGTGAACCGTTAGGCTATACCGTACGTGCTTTAATCTGCCGACTCAATGGATATTCAATAATTAATTAGACCCGTATTTTTATCAATCTAGAACACAGTTTTTTAATGTGTTATATCATGTGTGTCGCAAAATTAAAAAAAAACGTAGTTACTTATGTCTTATATGGCGTACTTGCTGTGTGAATATATACATACAAAATAATTTGTTTTTCGATTTGATTGTACATGTAATTATTTATTTATTTATTCACAATAGAACTTCACAGTCCATTTGAGCTGTCATGTAATATATCGATACGTGACTGTTGTGTGAACAATTGGTTGAGCAAAGAAGTTGCCCGAAAAGTAGGCGTTTATGTACATTAATAAACATCAAGAAACTAAGAACACAACTTAATTGTGGAGTAAATCGTATACAAAATATTTCTCAGTCGTTCCTGCACTAGACTAGGGTTGTCTCGTCAGTCTTTATTTATTTAAAGGAAATCTAACATGAACCATGCACAACATTACGCACTCTTAGTGTAATAGCACCACATCTGTAAAATACCAACCTTTGAAAAGAAAATTTTATAAATCCTACGCACGAAATTAGTCAATAACTTTTTAATGCGTGTTTAGAAGAGTAATAAAATTTTATACATACTAAACATGATAAAAAGGAGGCTAAAAAATCGTTGATAAACCAAATACAAAGATACGACGCAAGTACATTCTAAAATTCGTGGGGTCCGCTGGTTCGTTCCGTGGCTTAGTTGGTATAGCGTCTGGCAGGGTTTTCCCTAGTGCAGGACTATGTTGAGTGAGTGCTTTATTATTATTATAATTGTTATAATTATTAATACATAGCCACGAATTTTTCTATGTGCTCGTTGTCGTATCTTTTTTATTTGGTTTTTCAACGACTTAGTAGGCATAGCGTCTGGCACGGTATGCTAGAAGACGTCGGTTCGAATCTGGCCGGATCGAAGGAATTTTTTTCTGTGTTCGATCTTTGTATTAATAATTATAACAAACTAGTGCAGAAATTTCACATAAAAACAAATGAATATCAATTCAATAAAAATTTAAATACATGTCAGTTAAATAATGGTAATAATTTTGTTCGTAGCTGGCGAGCAGTGGCGGCGGCGGGCGCAGCCTGTTCTGCTACCACTGCCCGCCGAGCCTACCGCCGCACCAGCACCGTCTTCCAACACTCGAGTACCCCTTCACCGCTTCTCATCCATGTAAGTATTATGCATTTTATATTTTTTTACGAGATCAAGTGACGGGACGAACAAGCCGTGCGCTTGCTGGTGAGCTATACGCCTGTCCATTACAATTGCATCTGAGGCGCGTTGTCACTGAATCCGTCACTCTGAGACATAAGTTGACAATTCTCATATGCATGTAATTTCATCAGCACCGTTACCCCTCATTACCGGAACGCAGTAATACTTCCATTATTGCTTGCCTTCAACTTTGCAGATAGTAGGTACTTACCTCCCCTTTACCTCTTTTTACTATTGTTTCGTACCTACAAAAGGGCAGTCAGAGCTAGTTCAATTACAAGTACAGTAGGTTTAAGATTCTGATAACTGCCTCGGTAACCGAACGGTTTCATTGCTGGACTGCCGCGCAGATGTCCCGAGTTCGATTCCCGGGCCGGGAGAAATATTTATATGGCCTATATTAATTTCTCTAGTGAGTTGGGTGTATTTGTGGTTGTCTGCCTATGTGTGTGTCCATCGCACCCGCGATACAGGGTTTCCCTAGCGCGAGGCTATGTGTGCATTGTTATTATTATTATATCTATTTTAGACTCTCGCCTCTCCCAAGGCCTAAAAGATTAATATTGAATTTTTAAATGGTAGAGGCGGTATTCCCCGGAAAAGGCACTGTCAGTCTGGGTCATGGACTCAGGTTCAAGAACCGGCGAACAATACGTGCCGTATCGAGCAAGTCCACCTTCCGCATTTGTGCTGGAAGCGACACGCCACAGAAATCCAAACTGTTAGCAAGACTGACTGTAATTCATCCATTTGCGGACAAACAATTGGGATTATTTCAGTGAAGGCCACATTACTATTATTATGATGTCTTAAGGCTGGAAATGCATTTGCGATATTAATGATATGTTTATTAATACCCTAAATGTCTGAAGTAACTACTTTCCATTGTTCCTGATAAAAATCGTAGCCTATTTGGCGGCTTGAAAGATATAAAAATTACGAAAAGGTCAAAACTATCAGGATTTACCAAAATAAAACCCCCGGACTAACCGCGTAGTCTCGGAGCTGGCGTCGATTAGTTCACTTATCGGTCGGCAAACTTCCCTAACACAGTTTACGAAGCCAGCTCCTCACTAATGCCATTATTGTCATTAAAGCTCTTGTCTTGTTACCTCCTGTTTCGATTTCCAACTCGATTTTCAGTTCAAATTCGATACAAATTCCGTTTAAAATCGACGGAATCTTTTAAGAATTGATTTTAAGAGTGCGTTATGAAGTTTTGGTAATTTTGGTATACATTTTGAAAATCTGAGTTAACCGCCGCTTTGAATAAATAGGCTCTTCTTATTTATACATGGACAGAGATTGCAATTGTCTCTTGCTTATCATCAAGTACTTATAGTCCTTTTTAAGTTTACTCGTATATTCGCGACACACACGTCCGGCACTCACTCGGTTTTCTTTTCTCGGTGGTGACAATAGCTCAGTGGGATCCTGTTACATACGCCACAGCCACGCACATGACACTTAATCTAATTGTGTTAAATATTTCATGTTTGCTTTTGTTGTTGTGTATGATTTTATTTTTATTCCTTTTTTTCCCAGTTATTTTAATTTTAATTTTTTGTTTTAATGTAGCTTCATCTTTTTTTTTATCTTCATTTTATTACTGTGTATATTTTTGTTGTGGCGTAGTAATAAAAGATTTCTATTCTATTCTATTCTATTCTATTCTTTTGTTTTATAATATTCGTAATGTACTGTGAGAGTAATTGAAGCCTTCTCATTTCAAAAAAAAAATGTTTGCAAGCGGAGATTGCTATCATGCCCTGTATCTTGTTTTGCTGATCCTTTTTAAAGAAAACCTCTTGTGTATAATACAAACATGATTTAGCTTAGCTTCGGTTGGCCGCTACTGATCGTCGTAACTTGCACGCAAAATGAACTCTTTAGGTGGTAAAGTATCTTCTTTTCTGATAGTAGTCAAAGCGCATCAAGTTTGATTCTTTGGACCGTTCTTAACGTACGTGGCATAGAGTTGAATTTAAATTTTAAGTGTCAAGTTTGACGTACCTACTTTTGACCCTGTATTTATCATCCATAAATTTCTACGCCATAATCAACTAGTATATTCAATTTCATCATCATTTTTTGTACATAAGTCAATGAGTCAGAGATAGTCAACATCACATCCATTTGAAAAAAAGTATTAAACATATCAACCTCTGATGGAGTCCAAGGAAAAGAAAATCGGTGATCCCATTTACAAAGAACTGAAGCCACCTAATGGAAAGGCAGGCAGACGAAAAAAAGTTAAACGAAAACATTCCGGTCCAAATTAGCGAACGGGTTGCGTTAACCCTAAAAAGGTAAAAATCAGTTTCTTTCGCGTTATCCTAACTGACTCACGTGCAGGGGTGGTAATGTGCTAATGAATAGCGGCGGGGCAGGGGTGCGGGGGGCGCGCGGGGGCGAAGGGTTGCAAGTGGAGTGGGCGGGGCTCCCCGGGGATTGGTCGCCGCCGGCGTCGTCTATTATTCATAAAATAGTTTTTAGACTCGCGCCCGTCTCTAACACGGTTACATTCGAAATTTGAACAAACTTAATAAGGATCATGTCACTTTTGATTAGTTTCTGCGCTGCCGGTTTTTTGCTCATAAAATAGCGATCAAAGGGCCGCCGTAACAACGTTAGTGAGTGGCCTTATTTCATTAGGGCCGTCGAAAATGACAGCCCGCCCCGGCTGCGTAATTGCGTAAATATATTAATTTTTAAAATCTATTAACGAATTGCTAGAGTTCTGGGTTGGGGGGTGTTGAGGTTCGCGTACCTCCCCCCAGGTTTTTTAAAAGCGCGCCGAGTAAGCGGTCGGTGGCTAGTGGTTATAAAAGCGGCTTAAACGAATCTATTAAAAATGTATAAAGCAATTTGTTCGCGTTCTGTAGGAACGCTACAAACAGGGCTTATTCTTGGAACGCCATCAGCCAAGCGGTGGCCAACGGCTATTCAAGGCGATGAGATGCTTTTCACGACGAGAGCTCGTCGCTTATCACATGTCTCTCGGCAAAAAGAATTTGCTATTAAAGAGCTGTAATAGCCCCGCAGCATACTCATTTGTATAACTACGTTCAGTTGCTTTAAAGTCCGAAGCGGTCTTTCAACGGTCTCTACAATCTCCAATTTTACGTAGACTAAAGCACTTATACGTTAATTTCAATGTCCGTTTGCTAAGAAAAATATGCAAATGAATGGCAGTCAATACAAATTGAATTATCAAGTTCCCCCTCAGTGCTAGCCATGCTAGCCCCTTCAATGGAACTGATATCCCGGTCCAATAAAAACTTGATTAGCTATGGATGCTTGATTATTATAGATAAATATTTTATAATACTTTTTTGAGAATTTTTACTAATAACATCCATAATTGAACGATTAAAAGTTAAAAGGGGCTAACCATTATTAAAATTACTTATATTATAAATTTAATACAAAATTTGCCGTTAAACCAAACTTGAATCTATTACTTTAGAAAAAAGTATTATAAATATATGCGAGTTTAAAAAGACATAAATACCTGTCTGCTGATTCCGAATACATATAAAATTGATTTTGGACATAAGCATCGCGTATGGCCTTCAAACGTCAATATTTATTTCTTTAAATTGTATTTAGATAAAAAAATCCAAATATGAAGTAAGTTAAGGTTCGTTTTGAGTGTCGCATTCATTTTAATCAAGTTGTCGATCAAAATACTTAATGGTATCAATCACAATGATTAAATCATTGCATAAATTATTGCTGCAATTATTACAATTCTTACACCAATCATTGTGCTAGATAGACTCAGTACATGAACAAGGAAACAAGTTATACGATGAGCTTAAATAAGATCTTGTTTATTTGTATAATATTGATTTTTCAGTGCAAAATAATCATTTTGAAAAATTCATTATTTTTTGAAAATTGATAATTTAGTAGTCGTGTTCTTTTTAAATAAATGAGATAAATATTGTAAATGATAAATATGAACAAATGTCTATTTATAATGACCAATCATACAGTTTCATTCTCCTCAGGAGAACAATGAGTAATAATAATTGTTAATACAAAGATCACGTAGAAAAATTCCTTCGATCCGGCTGGATACGAACCAACTGAAGTGAAGTACTCCGGTACTAATGCACCCGGTTTTGAAGGGTAAGGGTGCTGGTGAAATTACAGGCACATGGGACTTGTCAACTTATGTCTCAGGGTGACGGGCGCAGTGGCAGTGCCCCTCAGATCTTGCGATTTAAAGCTCTGAGTGGCACTGCAACTGTTATGGACAGGCGCGTGGCTTACCATCAGGCGCACGACTTGTTCGTCCCGTCACTTGATAAGATTATAAAAAAAACTCTTTCGCTGCTTTAATAGCATGTTTTAATCTTGATTAAATCGTTCTTCTTTTTTTTATCGTATCGATTGTATACACTATAATGCTTACCATCGTGGTGAAAAAATTTGCCAATCAGCGTGAGGTACTAGCTGATTGTTGCTCAAGGTGCGCTTGACGTGACCTTTCGTACACCCCAATCTTTAATGGACTCCTGTTTAGTATAAGTGTATAAAATATATAAATTACATATATGTAGGTATATTTTTGTAGCTTTTTTAAGTAACATTTTTGCGCTTATGCCTATTGAATATAAACATAAGATGAATTTTCGTCCTAAATATTGTTATGTATTTACATTGGATTTACCAGAGAGATTTTAGTAGTAAAACAAACCCAAATTCCCTCAGTGTTTATTTAATCATTACAGTACGTCGCCTGCAGTGGTCAAAATACCTATCTTTAACATATTTAGTTTATCTGCTGTTTCTTTTTTAAAATGACATCATATACACGATAATTATTACATTATTAATATATAAAAATATTTTTTTATAATACGAAGTGATGGGACGAACAAGTTGTACGCCTTATGGTAAGCGACACACCTGTCCATAACAGTTGTAGTGCCGCTGAGAGCTTT